CATATTAACAATCTGATCAATCTCAACGCTGACGAAAGGTAGACATCTGGTTGCGGTTATCATTTTGCACCAGGTAAAATTATTAGGTCTTCTGCTGTCGTCCATCATAAAATAGGAACAATTTAGAGAGATGGAGTCTCCTTTTTTGGCAGATAGCCTCATGGGAGCTGGCGAGAAAGACCGGTGACTGGTTAGTGTGAGAAAGGGAAGGAAAGAGACATGTCCTGTGGGTGTATAAATGCCCCCTGCATCTAAATCTGAAGACAAAGGATCAGACCAAACCCCAGCCCAACAGGAGCATACAAAAGACATGGAAATAATCTCTCCCAGCCCAAGGAAAATATTTCCTAGGATTGGCTGTGCACAACTACCACCGGAAAACTGCACAGTATCCAAGCTGCAATCAACCACCATGGGCCAGCCCTGAATCCAGCCTGAGCATCTGCTAATGCTGCCATCACTTTGAAAATGCACCTTCACCACTGGCCCCTCTGCTCCTGGCAGTCTTAGCATCTGAGGAGCCAAGGACTGAATGAGCCATGCAGATGGGACGCCTCCCTCGTCCCTAGAATGGGGGACCACCCAGGACAGGGCTGAGGGATCATGGGGAAGCTTGCACCATGTTGGGCCTCCCCTGTGTGTAAGGATAAGGCTCCAGGGCTGCTGTGGCGGCACCTTTCACCAACAGTAACAAGAAACAGTTAAACGGGACAGCGGTGGTAGAAGTGAAGATGCCCCAGAGTCTGGGATGTCTAGCAGCTGGTCTGACCATCCTTCTTATTGGTCATTCCAACTGGTAACCAGGACTTCAAATTGGGAGTGATGTTTCTCCATGTCGTGGGGTTTCTATTAGAGTTGGCCAAAGATTTTCTGTCTAAAAGGGGTATTTGTTTTTAATGGAAAATGGCTGTGTGTGAAACAGAGAATATGAGCAAAAAATGTTCACCTTCCTGGAAAAATATGGATTTTTTTTATCCAACGACCCATAACTGAAAATATTCAGTTTTAACCCAAAACAATTTGTTTTAAGGGGGTCAGAAACCCTTGTTTGTGGTGTTTTGAGAAACAATGGAAAAACGGTTTTTTGTTTTTATCAAAAGTTTTCATAGGGCAACAAAATTTCCCAACCAGCTCTGGTTTCTACCTATATATGTGCTAGCATGTGATGTATAGATGCATGTATGTGTGTGTTTGTGTGTGTGTGTGTTTATGTATACACACACACATTTAAATGCATACATGCATCTGATACGTATGTTTTTTCTATAAGTAGATATAAAATTGGGGTTAAAATACATTAACCATCGCTCTGTAGTATCACTGGCGTGTCTGTCTGTACAGAATGTGTTTTATTTAGAAACAGGACTGGGAATAAGAACATAAGAGCATAAGAATGGCCGTACTGGGACAGACCAAAGGTCCATCCAGCCTAGTATCCTGTCTACCGACAGTGGCAATGCCAGGTGCCCCAGAGGGAGTGAACCTAACAGGTAATGATCAAGTGATCTTTCTCCTGCCATCCATCTCCACCCTCTGACAAACAGAGGCTAGGGACACCATTCCTTATCCATCCTGGCTAATAGCCATTAATGGACTTAACCTCCATGAATTTATCCAGTTCTCTTTTAAACCCTGTTATAGTCCTAGCCTTCACAACCTCCTCAGGCAAGGAGTTCCACAAGTTGACTGTGCTGTGTGAATAAAACTTCCTTTTATTTGTTTTAAACCTGGGAATGGAGCATGAGTCTAATTTGGAATATCCAGCTTTGAGTTGATTTGTGTCCCAACCTGCTCTTCACTGATCTGTAGCTCACCTTCATAAGATACCGCCACTTTTATCTTTTTCAATGGGATAATCTTCATATGATCGGAAACCCCACACCAGTATATTCCCGAATCCTCTACCCGGAGCTCCGTCATGGACACAGAAATCCAGCCAATTCTCAAGTCTTTTAGGCTGACCCTTGCATCTGGAGGATTTGGAGAATTCCTTCCTGCTGCGGGGGAGCTCTGGACTATGGTGCGGCATTCCAAGTCTGACAGCTCCTTGCACCAAAATTTCTCACTTTGTGAATACTTGTGATCATTGTAGTGACACACTGTAGTGAGCGCGCCTCCCCGCACTCTTCTCACCATTTCCAGGTCCTTTCCTGCAATGCAGGGCCCTTCCAAGGAAAGAACAAATTGACGTTAGGGGTGAGAATGACCTGTGGGGACAGTGGCTCTTAACCAATGACCTGCCCATCCCTGCGACTACTTCAGGCTGCTGTAATTGTTTTTCTAAGCTCCTTACCCCTGCCTAAATGAGCCTCTGTCCTGAGCGCCAGTGCATATCAGCTGTCTCCTTCCCATTTAATAGTCCATGCTCTGTTCCACTCTGGAGCTTACATTACGCAGTCTTCAAAGTGGATTAGAGTGTGAACAACTAATCAGGAGCTAGACTGGCTGTGTCTGGTACAGTCTGGTAAACTGGCACCGGTCTGATCATCTAGTGCACCCCCTTTTCAGTGTAGGAGTGTTCGCTACAGCACATTCTCTGTTGCTTTCTCCAGATTGACAGGACCCAATTCCTAGGTGGGTTTGGATAAGGAATCCCTTCTAGCAGGAGAGGAGCCTGTTTTCACAATTTGGGGTGTTCAAATCCTCCCTGAAATCCACTTGATAGCTTTTCTTTTCTCTCTCAAATATGCAATTGCTGAGGAAAAAAATATGGAGACCCAGCAGGCAGAGCATTTCCTGCCATCACAAATAGCTGGGAGCCCAATTTCCGTGCCTGCTCGCAGCCGGCCAACGTGATAAGTGCAAGAGCAAACAAGTGCAGTGTGCTACAAATGCAAGAGCAAACGGAATATTCCGTGTCTACGGGAGGGGAGGGATGATCTCTCGGTGCCTTACCTGTTAGTGCCAGCAATAGCAGCCGGGCTGGGAAGCGACCCATCCTGTAGGCTTAGGTCTTGGAGAAGTGCAATGCAGCCTCCAGGCGTCTTCGGTGTTGTGAAGATGAATTTCCCCTCACGGGTAGGAAGTGAACTCCCTTTGTCGCTGTCTGTCACGTGTTGCTCTGGAGTGACAGTGTTGGTTTGGAATTGTTGGGAAAATTCTCTAACTGGAGCAACGTCCCTCAATTTAGTCTTTGGGACGGGTGCCTGTGTTTCTGTGTATTTGAACTACCAGCTGCTTCTCATTTAAAAAAGCACAACAACTTAGCTATTGAAACTTGAACATAGGGAGCTAGGCAAGAGGATGGTGCATATTATAGCTTCAAATAACATTTTGAATATCAGTGTATGCTATTTTGTTAACTCTTAGTTTCTGTATTACACAATGTGGGCCAGATTCTCTCCTGCACCCATCTCCGCTAGCCAGGGTCGGGGGGCATCAAGGTGTTTCAAATGGTCTGGAGGCTGCTCTAAATTTCACAGCGAAGAAGGAACTTCTCCATCAGCCTGGGACAGCTGTAGTGTAGGGAGACCAGGGGTTTCCCGCTACCCTCTTGCAGTGCCATGATCTCCCTTCAAAATGTTTCATGAAACAGAAGTTTTCCAGCCGGCTCTGCTGATGGAGGATAGTTTGGTTGGCTTCCTTGTGACCCCTGTACTGATTGCACTGCCTATGGTTGCCTACCACACCTTTGAGAGAGCCCTGTGCTGCACCTCTTATCTTCACCCAGTGGGAAAGAGGTGAGAGTCAGCGTGTCCTGCTCCTGTATGAACCTGAGCATGTGGAAAATGACCCACAAGGGCTCTGTGTGGGACAGAAGCTCCCTGGAGAACGTGGTTGGCACCTGAACCTGGGAGACTGTCGGTAACAATGTGCAAGGAGCCCAGTGAATTGTGTCTTCAAACAAACCTCTGTCTGTGTTTCCATTAAGCAAGGTGTGAAGGTGTAAGGGATTCCATTCCTCTGGGGTCAGAGGCCTGGGGCTGGCTGGCCGATTAGCCCTGCCCACTGCACCTGAGAGAGAGCTGGAAATTTAATTAGCTGACCCTTATTAAAAAAAAAGGCAGCAGGAAATGGCAGAGAGGACTACAACACCCTCCAGGAAGCTAAGGGGCCAGGGGCTGCGAGCCCGTTGGACTGCTGCTGGTGCTACTGCAAAGAGGAATTGCGCCAGAAACCAAACGGACAGAAGGGAGACTGCGTGGAGCCCTTTATTGCTGAGACTCGGTGGTAAGAGCCAGGAAATG